TGGTAGGTGGTCACCTGTGCTGGACCTCCCCATCATGTAAGGCATCAATTTTATAGTTTCTTCTGTTTGATAGCAAGATTTATAGTCCTTGGTAACCATTATTTCTGCTGCAAGATGGTCAGATGAGTTCCCTTGCTGTGCCTGTGAGAACAGAATCCATCTGAGTCCATCTGTACAAGATGCACCTGCAGCAAGTCACCCAAAATAATCTCTGTTCCAGCCACTGCTCTTGTCTGCAGAGGTTATTAGCTCTGCACAGCTAGAGAAGGTGCTGTCTGGACTCAGCAGCCCTGGGCCTGGGGCACCCAGCCTTTGAACTGCTCCCTAACCAGAAATTGCATATAGAATGCAGAGAGCCTAGATGGCAGAGGTGAGGAGTTGGTACACACACTGTTGGTCTTCAACCAGAACAGTGAGCAGAAGTTGGTCCAGAGCAGACCTGCACTGTCCCCATGAACCCCAGTCCTGTCTGTCCATCCTCCAGTGTCAGGATCACTGCCTCTCCCCAGCCAGAAGGACCTGCACAGGAGCCCCGTCCACTTCAGTGCCTAGGCTACAAAGAGCAGGTGAGGGGCCGTGGTAAACCAAAGATAGCAAAAAGAAAATTTTAGAAGAGTCCCAAATAATAGATAAAGGTCTTAGAAGTAGGCTACTGTTAAGATTTGGGCTTTTATTCTAAATAAGTCATTGGGAGGTTTTTTGTAAAGGAAGATTTGTATGAGTGATCTGAGCCAGCTTAGGTGTTGTATTAAGTTTTCCATTGTTACCACAAAATATCTAAGTTAAACAACTTAAAAGGAGCAAAAGTTTGCTTTGACTGAGGCACCAAAAGCACAACATCCAGGTGGGGAGCACATGGAAGAAAAGAACTGCTTGCCCATGGCAACCAGAAAGCAGAGAGGTGAGGCCAAGATCCCAATAACTTGCTCAGAGGCCACCCCCAGCTCCACTAGACCCGAGCTCCAAAAGGCCTGCCCCTTCTCACTTTCACCAAGGGCTGGGTTCCTAGAAGGCAGAACAGGCCTTTGGAGGACTTTCATGTTTTAAGTTAAAAGTGGGGGGGGGGGGCTGGTGAGATGGCTCAGTGGTCTAAAGCACCTACTTAGAACAAGCTAAGCTAAGCAAAGCACAGGGACAGCGGTTCAATCCCCCAGCACCACATACCAGCCAGCCCCACCCCCTGATGGGCTGAGCTGGCCACACACACACAAATAAACAAACAAATAAATAAATAATTAAAAAAAAGTTAGGGGGGCCGGGAAGATGGCTCAGTAGAATAAGCTCTTCCCTGGCAAGCACAAGGGACTGAGTTCAATCCCTGGTTCGGGGGGGGGGGGAGGCTTTAACAGAACCACGCTTGTGCCGGCAAGATAGCTCAGTGGACTGAGCACCTGCTTAGACAAGTGCAAGAGTTCGATCCCTGGCACCGCATGCTGCACTGACCCAGCCCTGGGGTGCACAGAGCTGGGCACTGAGAATGGGCCTGGTGACGCATGCCTGTAAGTAATCCCAGCGCTGGGGAGACTGAAAATAGGATCAGTGCAAGTCCAGGCTGCATAGTGAGACCCTGTACCAAATACATTAAAAACAAACAAACAAACAAAAAAAAAAAAAACAAAAAAAAAACAGAGCCAATACTTACCTGGCAGGGGAGATATCATGATCACGAAGAACAGAGCAACCCTAACTGCTGTGAGGAGACTGAGGCAGGCTGAGCTGGGGACCCAATTAAATGACCATTGCATAATCCAGCAAAAAACGGTGGTGACTTGGACAAGGAAGGTGGTACTGCAAATTAATATAGTTGGAAGGCTAAACCAACAAGATTTATTGAAAACTGGGCATGGTGGTGCATACCTATAACCCCAGCACTCAGGAGGCTCAGGCAGGAGGATCACCATGAATTTGAAGCCCGCCTAGGCTACATAGTGAATTTAAGGCCAGCTTGAACTGTGTAGTGATACCCGTGTCTCAAATAACAACAAAAAGTAGGATGTGAGTGATTTTGGCTGGAGAAATAAATGAGGATGCCCTAAGGAAACAGGGAGCATCAAGAGCCCTACATCACATCCTCTGCCATGAGTGACTTTGGAAGTGACACTCCTGATCACTTATCCAAATTCTCACATTGGTTATAGCTCTTTGTAATCCCACTTCTCGTGTTATCTGGTATCTGCCCAGGAACTTGGAACTCTTAACTCTTGGCTTTCTCTTGCCTCTGTGACTTTGTCCTCTCTGGATGCTCTTTGCTCCTTCTGCTCCTTTAGATGACCCCAGTGTCATCCCTTGTGATGCCTCCCTGGATCCTTCATCTGCGTCTAACCTTTATTTATTTATTTTTTTTTGGGGGGGTGGAACTGGGAATTGAACTCAGTCCCTTGCGCTTGCCAGGGAAGTGCTTATTCCACTGAGCCATCTCCCTGGCCCCATGCATCTAACCTTTAAATTGAAGAAGCCCATGATTTCTAGACGAAACTGTGGTAGCGGGTTTTAAGTGGCACACTGTGGGCAGTGACTGTTGATGAGAAATGGAATACTGTGACATCCTTTCCCCAGCTCACTGTGACTTCTGAACTTATGTCTAGTCTGTACTGCTTCTTGGACTGTTTTCTGTTGGAGGTACCAGCATAGCATTTCCTTCAATTTAAGCCACCCTAAACTCAACTCAGGTGTTAGTGTCTTGCAGCTCTGTGTAGCTTCATGCACTTTCACCTTGAAACCTGGCGGAGGGCTGAGCCTTTCCATTTGCTTATAGGGAAGCTGTGCAGCCTCTGGCCCACTCTTCTGGGCTTTGTCTGCCTTGTTTTGCTCTGAGTGCATGACAGATGCAGGAGACCCAGAAAAATTGTTTTTACCTCCTTTCCCCCCTTACTGGAGGCAAGCAAGGTTTTGTTTTCTTTTCTTTTGTGTGACACTGGGGCTTGAAAGGACCTTTGCACTGAGCTACATCCTTGTGCCCTTTTGAGGCACTAATGAGCTCGAATTTGTAGTACTTCTACCTCATCCTCCCAAAATTCTGGGATTATAGGCATATACCACCATACCTAGGTAAGAGATAAGCAGTCTCTAGCTTTTTGGCCATTTGAACTTACTGGACCAGTGTTTTCAGTGAGCAACCTGCAGCAGGTTTAGAAACTGCGTTCTCTCTCTCTCTCTCTCTCTCTCTCTCTCTCTCTCTCTCTCTATATATATATATATATATATATATATATATATATATATAGTACAGGGTCTACAAGGGTTTCACTGTGTAGATCAGACTTGTAGTGATTCTCTTTTCAGCCTACCAAGCACTGGGATTATAGGTGCACCACCATGCCCAGTCTCAGCTGCCATCTCAGTGTGCCCCAGGAGCGGGGCTGGCATGGCATGCCAAGAATTGAACCCTGGCCACTGCTAGAAACCTCTCTGGAGTTAGAACTGAAGGCCAGGCACATTTCCTAGGCTACAAATTGATAATCTCAACCCAGACTGATGATCTAATAAATGCCTAGCTGTAGAAAGACCTGTCCAGGGGCTGGGGTGATAGCTCAGTAGAATAAGCGCTTCCCTGGCAAGCACAAGGACCTGAGTTCAATCCCCAGTTATGCCAAATAAAAAAAAAAAGACCTATCTATAACACATGTCTGCCTCTCCAGCCTGTGTTAATCGGGGTTCTCTAGAGAAACAGAATCAGGCCGGAGAGATAGCTCAGTAGAATAAGCGTTTGCCTGGCAAGCGCAGGGTCCTGAGTTCAATCTCTGGTACCGTGGAAAAAAAGAAACAAAAAAAGGAAATGATGAAAGGATGTGGAAAGAGACATTTACGAAATTGGCTCATGTAGTTGTAGGGGCTGAAAAGTCCAAAATCCACAGGACAGGTGAGCATGTGGAAATTCTGGCAAGAATCTATGTTGCAAACTTGGTCCAGATGACATTCTAGAGACTAAATTCTCTCTCTATCAGAGGACCTGGCTTTTAAGGATTTCTATTGGTTATATAATCTGATTTGCTCACTTGCGCGTGCTGTCTCTCTCTCCTCACTATATATAGTTCAGGCTGGCCTTGAGCTTACCGTGTCACCCAGGCTGGCCTCAAATTCAAAGCATTCTTCTTGCCTCAGTCTCCCAAATGCTAAGATTACAAACTGGAATTACAGGTGTGCACCACCATGCCTGGCTCAATTCTTGATTTAAATCATATTTTAAGAAACAGTTCAGGGGCTGGGGAGATGGCTCAGTGGAATAAGTGCTTCTCTGGTGAGCACAAGGGCCTGAGTTCAATCCCCAGTTCCACCAAAAAAAAAAAAAAGAAGAAAAGAAACAGTTCAGCCAGGTGTGGTAGTACACATCTGTAATCCCAGCATTCACGATGCTGGGGCAAGAGGATCACTGTGAGTTTAAAATCAGCCTGGAAAAAAAAAAAAAAAAAGCCTGGGCTACATAATGAGTTCAAGGCCAGTCTGAACTACATAGACCCTGTCTCAAAAAGAAAAAAAAAGAACCTACTCCTCTGAAACCATGGCATCATAATCCCAGGAGGCTGAGGCAGGACCACAAGTTCAAGGCCAGCCCAGGCAATTTAGTAGGACCCTAAATTTTGTCTCAAAATACAAAATAAAAAAGGTCTGGGGATTTGGCTCAGTGCAAAGATCTCAGGGCCTGTCCCCAGCACTGGGCCGGGAATGGAATTGGGAGCAGTGCTGCTCCTCTTTATCCAGTCCATAACTTTGTCCAGTCTAGTCACTAGGACTGTTTTCAGTCTAAGCTAACATGTCTTTCCTGGGTCCATCTGCTTGGAGAAGTAAGATTTTTCCTATTTAGTGGCACATACCTGTAACACCAGCACTCTTGAAGGTGTAGGCAGGATTGTAAGTCCCATCCTGGGCAATTTAGCAAGACTTTATCCTAAAAAGGACTGGGGGTGTAGCTGAGTGTGAAGGTCCTGGTTCAGTGCACCTCCCACAATTCTCTGATGCAAGTCCCTTGGAACTTTGAGATTTCCCTTATGTCTTACTCATAGGTATTGGGAAGAATGTGGTCTGTGAGAAGGCAGCAACCTCAGTGGACGCCTTCCGGATGGTGACAGCCTCCCGCTACTATCCACAGCTGATGAGCCTGGTGGGGAACGTGCTGCGCTTCCTGCCTGCCTTCGTGCGCATGAAGCAGCTGATTGCAGAGCATTATGTTGGCGCAGTGATGATCTGTGATGCCCGCATCTACGCAGGCAGCCTGCTCAGCCCCAGCTATGGCTGGATCTGCGATGAGCTGATGGGGGGAGGGGGCCTGCACACCATGGGCACCTACATCGTGGACCTGTTGACCCACTTGACCGGCCAGAAAGCTGAGAAGGTACATGGGCTGCTCAAGACATTTGTGAGGCAGAATGCTGCCATCCGAGGCATCCGGCATGTCACCAGCGATGACTTCTGTTTCTTCCAAATGCTCATGGGTGGAGGAGTATGCAGCACAGTGACACTTAACTTCAACATGCCAGGCGCCTTTGTGCATGAAGTCATGGTGGTGGGCTCTGCGGGTCGCCTTGTTGCTCGCGGAGCTGACCTCTATGGGCAAAAGAACTCTGCCACACAAGAGGAGCTGCTAGTGAGGGACTCACTGGCTGTGGGTGCAGGGCTGCCTGAACAGGGGCCTCAGGATGTCCCGCTGCTCTACCTGAAGGGCATGGTCTACATGGTGCAGGCTTTGCGCCAGTCCTTCCAGGGGCAAGGGGACCGCCGCACCTGGGACCGCACCCCTGTCTCTATGGCTGCCTCATTCGAGGATGGGCTCTACATGCAAAGTGTGGTAGATGCCATCAAAAAGTCAAGCCGATCTGGGGAGTGGGAGACTGTGGAGGTTCTGACAGAGGAGCCTGATGCCAACCAGAACCTGTGTGAGGCACTTCAGCGGAATAACCTATGAGCCTGTGATTGGGCTCCCTGCCACAGGGCACAGGAATCAGGGAGGGAGCGATGATGAAAGTATAGCTGGCCATGGCAGAGACAATGTCATTCATTTAGTAATTCAGCTTGGACTAGGGCAGATAGAAGATTGAAGGTGGCCCAGGGAAATCTCCCTTCCGTCTGTTCATTTATTCCTCAGACTTGAGGAGTAAATGAGCCTACTGCCACAGCCTACTACCTACTACCACCTCCAACACACCTACTACCACAGCCTAGACTAGCATTGTTGTGTAGGGCAGATCTGCTGCCAGGCCTCTTCATGGCTCTGCTAGTCAGCAAGACCAGTAAAATCTTAGTTTGGGCTCTTCAATATGATGTGATCTGAGAGAATGAAAAAGTCTAGCAAAGAGCCACCTGGGCTGAGATCTGAGGAGAAATGATAAGAAGCCTTATTATTTCCATGCCCATGCCCTCCTTGGGACCTGGGGCATCTCAGGTTAGTGGGGCAGCAAGTCATCCCTCAGGGATCCTCACCTGCCCTCCCATCTGACCGCACCAGGCTGACCTGCAAGGAGGAAGGGCTTTGTATTCAGTAAGCTCTCGGGCTGTTGACTTAGGCCAAAGGCCTCTGACTTGGTGGAGAGAAGATACGCAGAGCCATAGAACATTTGATGAATGTCACTATAAATCACAAAAAGTGATATCTTGGTGTGTTTTTTTTTGTTTGGTGATTGGGTTTTTTAATAGCGAAAAGCTTATTTATTGCTGTGGAAAGATCCTCAAAACTGCATAGCATGGCCTGGGGAGATAGCTCAGTAGAATAAGTGCTTGCCTAGCAAGCACATCAATCCCCAGTACCACAAAAAAAAAAAAACAAAACAAAACAAAAAACTGCACAGCAGCTCTGAGCCTACAGTGGATCCCATATGCCTGCCCCTCATCTCTGGCTTGTTCCCTCATAGCTGAGTCCCATAAGTCCTCCAAAGAAATGTTTCCTCAGGACAGGACACAGTCATGGGGTGGGGGTGGGGGGTGTCAGGCTTGCCACTTCAGGCAGTCGGTGAGAACCTGGGACCTCCTAGGCTGGAAAGCAGGAGGGTTCTGTTCTTAAAAATATGGTGTGGCTCCAGGAGGGCCCTCTGAAGAAGATGAGTTTGAGGATGAAGGGCTCACTGCCCCTTGGCACAAGTTTGGCACCAGGCAGACAGGGACAACCCGTTAGCCACTCAGTCAGAGGTGGGTGGCGTGTTGAGAAAGGACACATCTGACCCAGTGTTTTCTTTGCCAGCTGCTGAGCTGTGAAGCCTGGACAAATTCCGTTGCATTCTTCAGCCTTCCTCCACTTCCTGTGAGCCCCTGGCCAGAAAAGCCCAGGGAGAGCTTCATCTCTTACTGAGGTCACCAGGCCTGTTTTCCTGCACTGTTCTGTTTTCATGCCTTGTCCGTGTGAAGATAAAATAAGGGTTAGTGTTGGAGAGTACTTACGGCATTCTGGGTCTATAGGGTAAGCACTTTAAGCATATTACTTAATCTCCAAACCACTCTACTAAGGTACTATTAATAGGCTCATTATTCAGCTCAAAAACAGGCATGGGGGCAAAATTACATGGGTTGTAAGTGATGGGATGCCGGAGCCTGGTAAAGACCATGTGATGACAGCATCTGACCAAGAGCTGTGCTTGATCCCAGTGCTCAGGAATCCCCCAGGCACTAGGCACTGCCCCTCCTGCGGCAGCGATCTGCTTGGCCTGGACTGGGAGAAGAACTGCAGAGTGCCCCTTTTCAGGCTGGACATTGGCAGTGAAAAGAGAGGCTACCTGCTGTACCTGGAGTCCTCAGCTACACTCCAAGCTCTGTTACTAGGATACCAAAGCCTCCTAAATTTAGGAGTTGACCAAGAAAACCCAAGATGTTCCTACATAAGAAAGGGCAGTGTTGCTGCCCAGAGTGGCTAAAGTTAGGGTTTGGAGGATTTACAAAGACTGATCTCCCAAGAGCTGGAGCTTATTGCAGTGGACCTAATGCAGACCTACTTTTTTGAGGATCCCTGATCCTCAGAGGGCACCTCTCAGTCTAGGTTCATCACCCACACCACCCTGAGATCGTTAACATTCTGTATCATGGGATTAGAGCCTGTTGGTTCCTTCACCCTAGGAAATGGAGGAGAGTTGGGCCTTGAGTGGCCCAAATGCTTGTGACCCAGGGAGCTTGTAGTGACTTGAGCCCAAAACTGGTTCCTAGCTTGTCCTGCAGCGCCCCCTCCTGGAGGAAGGTAGCATGTCCCTAGATTTGTTTCCGAGATCTCAGGGTGCTGGTTAATTGCACTCAAGTCAAAGTGGTTTTTCCTGGCCAGTGAAAATGAAATTCACTTCCCTCCTCTGAAATAGCAACCAAAAGAGAGTTTCTAAAATATCCATCACTGAGTCACCAGCCTGCAACCAAATCTGTAGCTCACACTCAGACCTGACAGCTGTTGCTCCATCTTGTCTCTTCCCCCATTCTGTCCTTCACACTTCTGTCCATGCAGCCCTCACAGTGTCCATTCCAGACCCCGCTTTCACCCAGACTTGACCAACCTGCACCCCTGATGGTTGTGCCATCTGTGTTGGCCACACTGAGCAGCCCTCCTGCACAGGATTGGCATCTTCCACATCAGCAAGGGGTCTTGTCCTCCCCCTGGAAGGTAGAATTTCTGCCCTTCAGGAATAGTTGAAAGGCTGCCTCGTCATCCCTCACCCCACTGCCTGTAGTCCCATATGTCCACTTGAATCACGCTGCCTCAGAATTGTCCCTTATATTGAGCTTCCAGAACCATTATAGACTTGTTTCTTCCTGTTTAGACACCACTATGGGTCACAGGCCTCAGGAATTGTAGCTCAGCTCCTTTTTTTTGGGGGGGTGATGTTCAGGATGCCTTCAGGGCAGGTCTGGTTTGGCTTGAGGATGAGGGGATTGAAGCACAGCATCCTGAGCCTGACTGCTTTGTTTTATTAGGCACTTAAACATCTGAGCTAATGGGCAGACCCCCACCCTCAGCTCCTTTCTGAACATGATTTCCCACCTCAGTTGTAGGGAGATCAAGAGTAGAGCTTCCTTCTCTGTGATGGCTTTCCCACATCACCCCAGACACCAGCCAGAGAGAGCAGATGCTTAGCCCTCTTGGGTCAGCCCGTACGCCAGAAAGCCCCCAGCGTGTGATCTCTTGAAGGGCTGCTTTTCTGTGGGCATTTGCTTCCTCAGCCACAAAGTGAAGAAGTCAAACTCCTTTATTTAGCTCTGGAACACTGACAGATCTGTGCCCGTGTCCCTGGACAAGATTCAGTTTTCACGGCACCTGTGATGGTAGGATCACTGAAGGGAGAAATGTCCTGACCCCAAAGCTTGCCTCTCTTGCCATGGGAAGATGCCAGGAAAGGACCATGCTGGTTTTCATCTTACTCCTTTCCTTCTACCTGGGCCTGCCCACCCCATACCTCCAATGGTTATGCCAGGCCATCTTTCAAGATCTGCTGGTTGGGTTCCAGATGGCTTCTGCCAATTCAAATGCTGATCTGTCCTTTCCACAGCCTCCATTCCTCACTGTGGTCTCCCTTGTTTGCTGCCTCTTATGGAAGCCTTCTGCTAGGTAGGTGCGATGCAGTGCTGCACGTGCTTGGGGACTTCGGAGTTGCAAAGACAGTTATTACCTCAATGGCAGTAGGTGCAGGTGCTGCAATGCAGGGCAACACTGCCACCAGGCGCAGCAGGAAAGGGGCGCTGAGTTGTCTGGGGTAGGTGTGTACTAGCCCAAGAAGGATAAAAGGATTTTAGACAGGGAAAGCCATGTACTGAGAGTGAAGGTAAGTAAAGATATGGCTGGTCAGGGTCAGGGAGTGACAGTCACTGAGAAGTTCTGACACTGCTAGAGCAAGAGAAGCAGTGTATTAGATGGGACAATGACACCATCAGAGGCACAGGTATGTGTGTCAGGGTCACTGCATGGATCTGGACCCAAGGTCTACAGTCTGATGTGCAGTTTGTACCTGGAGATGTCCAGGGGCCTCTAAGGAGGCTGAGCATGGGGTGTGAAAGGGCACATTTATCAGCCTTGATAGCAAATTGGCTGGTGGGATTTAAATAATAGAATAGTATCTGAGGTGACACCAGGATTCTGCTTCAAATGATTGTACAGAGGAGATACAGGAGGAAAAGCAGGTTGGAGGGAGGAGAAGTTATTTAATTTGGAATGTCCTACATTTGAAGTGCCTGAGAGCCACAGGAACACTAGGAGGCTAAGCTACTGCCCGTGCCCACATGGCCAGCTCTTCCCAGAGATCCTGAGAGCTAGAAGCAGCAGTCATTTGACATCGTGGCCACAGATTCCAGGGAGTACATTCACTGCCACCACTACCACCACCCTCTCTGCCTGCCAGAAAAAAGCAGACACCCTGTCACCAGGGCCTACTCCATGAGCGAGGTCTGGTCCATCTGTGTTGTGGAAATGAGTGATGAAGCTGCCACTCTTGGGGAAGTCAAACTCTGCTACCTCAGAAGGGGATGCCAAATGTTGGTCCCCTTGAGGTCAAGCTGGATTCAGGCCTGTCTGTGAAAGGCAAAGAGCAGGGCCAAACACCTGTTTCCTAGGACTTTTTTTGTTTTGTTTTTTCTGCCTCTAGTTCTAACCCTTCTTACCTCCCTCTTCATCTCCCACAGCCAGCCCCTCTAACCTTCAAATACACTTGGCAAGACTAAACACTTGGCAAGGCTAATTTCATAAGACCAGACCCCATACCTGCCCCACCCCCACTCCTAACTCAGATCTATTTTTCAAGGTCCAGGGCAATCCACATGACTGGCCAGGTTTCAAACCTCCATCCTTCTCAGCTTCTTTCCTAATTCAAGCATTCTATTTGGGGAACCAAAGTCTTAGAAAAGGAAAAATGTTTATTTTCCACAAGTCCATGTTTCCAAGTGGGTACAGAGTTTGAATTCCCTTCTTCATATGATGGTCTAGGCTGACAGACTGAGGCTTGGCTTAGGCCTGGAAGGAGGGGAACCTTCAGGGAGTGAAAGTCACTTGTACTGAGGGGACAGTGGGGGCACGAGAGGAGCAGCACAGACACTCAGCATCTTGTTGATGTCTACCTGTGTTGACTTGTCCACTTCAGCCTTGAGGCAGCCACTTGCCCCCAGGCTGGGCAAGCCACCAGGTTCCACTCCAGTCTGCTTGCTCAGGGGAGCCAGAGAAGGGGTGGGTGGCACTAATGCCATGGGGCAAGGCAAACCAAGGCCTAAGCCCAGCTCACCTGCCATGGGCAGCAAGTCCTGAAGCTGCTTCACACCCACCTCAGGAACCAGAGGCAGTGCCAGCTCGGGCTCCATCTTGATTTCCCTGTTCCCTTCCTCTGCCTGGTTCAGCTCAGGGTTGCAATAGTTGATGTACTGGTACAGTGGGCGCAGACGCTGGGCCTTTCCTGCAAGGATCCAGGGCAGAGCAGGGGCTGGAGTGCAAGCCAATGCCATGTCAGATCCAGCCAACAGAGGAAAAGGCGAGGCCCAGGGATTGCTACTCACGCTCCAGCATCTCTGGGGTTGCACACATTGTGTTGGCCACAGCTGGTAGCACAGAAGCCCCAAGACTCTTGCGTTTCTTGGTTTTTTTGGTCTGTTTGGCAGAGGGTGAGGGCTCACTCTGACTGCCCTCTGGCTCCTCCCTCTTCAGCGACAGTGTTCCTGGTGGCAGTTCAGCTTCGATCCTAGGATAAGCATGGTGGCGAGGCCCTTGGAGGTACTGGGACCAGAGACAAGAACCCTGAGGAGACATCCTTCAGTCTCTGGTTCAGGTACTTTCAGTCGAGGGACCTGCCATGTCTGCCCATGACCCCAGGGCTAGATAGCAGCCATCCTTTTCCTGGTCAGTGAAGCCCAGAACAGATACACCCCCTGTGTTCATGTGAGCTCAGTGCTCTATAGACCTTGAAGTTCCATTGCTTAGTGGTTCATACAGCAGGGGAACACAAGGGGTGGACAGTATTGGTAGTGCAGGGGGCCAGGAATCTGCATGTGTGCAGGATTTAGGATTCCTGGAGTATGTGGTCCATGCCCTAGCCCTTCAGCTCCCTTCCTCTGAAACCCCCCTCACTTGACTGGCTTCTTCTTTAGCCCATGACTGGTCCTCTCAGTGGCGCCCACAGGCCTGGGGCCCTTTTCTCCGGTGGCCTCTGGCTCTGCCTCTAGTCCCATCTCCTGCTTGAGCCCTTTTTCCTGGCGTTCTGGCTCTGAGCAATCTCCTGTTGGGCACTTGTCTTCATCCTGGGCTTTACAAGTCTCTTGCACTGGAAGCAGGCACTGATCTCCTGTCACTGGACACTAGAGTTTATTAATAGGTTATTAGTCAACATGACCAGGTGAAGGATGTAGGGGTCAGACATTACTCACCAAACAGAATAAAGAGCATCAGCCAGGGCCCCTTCCTGCCTGTAGGGTCTGGTTGGTCGTTAGGGTGTGGGGTCAGATTTAGGTTACCAAATATTTAATGGCTAGTCGCCCTAACCATCATTCATCTCAGGGTTTTGAGCATAGCTACCACAGACCTCTGTGACATGGCCCTGCCCTAAGGCCATCCCCTCATGGGCTCCTGGGCACTTCTTGGCCTCTTCAAAGGCCACGGCTGCACAAGGTCGGTGTATCCTTGACGGTTACCAGAGGGAGGGCAGACCCGGAAAAGCTGGACTGATGAACTCTTTGCTGACAGGGAAAAACAGAAGGGAGACAAAGTCTAAACTGGGGAGACCAGTGGCCCCTCCACCCACCCTCTGTTGGAACTACAATTCCCAGAAGCCTTTTCGCTAGGGTCATTGATCCCTGCTCTCAGGGAGGGAAGCTATTTGTTGCCTGGCAACAGAAACTCCTTTAGGGTAGGACAAGCTGGCGGTATAACTACTTGAGTGAACCTCTGCCAGACTTTGCGGGAGAGGGGCTGCTAACCCGAACCGGAGGAAAAGTGGGCTACGATCCAGGTCTTGGAGGTGGTGAACGCGGGTCAGACCCAGGGGCTGGAGGCGGGGAGAAGGCGGGTAATGGGGGCACCGCAGGGCTGAAGCGTTCGTCGAGGGGGAGGGTTGGGGGAGGGGCACGGGCGGGAAATGCACTGAACTGCAGGCCTCGGCGAACCGTTGCAGGCGGCGACTTAGACATGTGTGAGGGTCCGTCCCACATCTCGGGGCCCATCCCTCCAGATCCCACGCTGTGCCCCGACTACTACCGGCGGCCAGCCTCGGGTGAGTTGGCGGGTACTACAGTGGGGTGAGGCACCCGTTTCATCGCTAAGCCCTATACCCTACATTCCTCCTTCCCCACCGCTCAGCCCAAGGGCGCCTTGAGGGAAATGCGCTGAAGCTGGACGTGCTGACCTGGGACCAAGACCTGGATGCCACGCTTCTGCGCGGCCCACGCATCAGGCCTGGAGCCCGAGAGATCCTGGAGCATGGGCAGCGCGGCGCGGGGGACGTGCTGCTCCAACTAGAGGGCATCTCTCTTGGTCCAGGGCCCTCTCCCAAGAGTAAGTCCCAGAGGGGTAGTGAGGTAGTCAGATGTCAAAAACAGATAAAAGCCCTGTTGGTGGTGCATGGCTGTGATCTCAGCGCTTGGAGGAAGAGGCAGGGATTCAAGCCAGCCTGGGTTACATAGTGAGTTCAAGGTTAGTCTAAACTACTTAGTGAGACCCTGTCTAAAAAATTGCTGAGATCAAGCTGGATGTGATGCCTGGTGCATGCCTGTAGTCGCAGCTTTCAGGATTCTGAAGAGCAGGAGGATTGCTTGAGTCATGAGCCCAGCCTGGACAACATAATGAGGTCTTATCTTAACAAAAAACAAACAAACAAAAAAAGAAGATAAAAATCACCTGCTCATGACTAGGGAGATAGCTCAGTAGAATAAGTGCTTGCCTGGCAAGTCAAGGGCCTGAGTTCAATCCCCAATTCCAGGGGAAAAAAAATCACCTGCTCCCTCTCTGAGTAGAGGTCAGGCTTTGGTCCTGGTCTGTTTGCACAATATAAGAGGGAAATTCAATCCCTCCCCAAAAGAGTGGACTGCATGAGATTGTACACATAAAACTTTAGCTTTTTCATGCATCCATGCATTAGAGAAATGTTTATTGAGTACCTGCTGTAGTAGGCCCTGTAAATGCTACAACAGGATTTTTTTCCTGGTACCAGGGGTCAAACTCAGAACCATGTGCTTGCCAGGCAGGGTGCTTATGCTGCTGAGCTATCTTCCCAGCCCTAGAAACAAGATTAAACACAAGTATAGGCCATCGTAAAGTCATATGGAGGCAATAAACTAGTGAAGAGGAATACATGATTAATGGTATACTGCACTATAAGAATGTAAAAGATAATCAAGTATTTTCTGGGAGCTTGAGCCTAGTCTGAACAATATAGCAACTTAGTAAAAACCTGTCTAAAAATAAAAAATAAAACCAAAAAACTGGGATGTAAATAGAGTATTTGTGTTGGATCTAACTTAGATGCAGAGGTCAGAGATTCTTTCTGCAGGGGATAAGTATGAGCTTGTGTATGGTCTGATGTATGTTGGGCTGCGGGGGCCACATGTAGGCCACAGTCTGGCAGCATCTTTTCCCCAGAGAAGGACCCTAAAGACCACGAAAAAGAAAACCTGAGGCGTATCAGGGAGATCCAGAGGCGCTACAGAGAGCAGCACAGCCGGGAGCAGGGCCAACCCAGGCCACTGAAGGCACTGTGGCGCTCACCCAAGTATGACAAGGTGGAGTCCCGAGTTAAGGCACAGCTGCAGGTATCTCTCAGAGAACCAGAAATATTGTCCCTCTTGGCCCCTGGGCTTTTACACCCTGGTCTAGTTAGGGGGAGGGAAGAAGTCATGGGGTACAAAGGTAACAAAAGACCAAGAGAGAATGTAGAGGTGTCTTCTTAGAAATGGTGATGGCTGGGTTGATCCTGAGGCATCAGTAGGAATTAACCAAGTAGAGAATGGAAGAGAATGTTCCAGAGATGGAACTGCACAGGTAAAAGTTGAGAGAACAGAGGAAGTATAGGTAGTAGGGATCAGGCAAGAAGGAACTAGACCACATGCCACTTGTCAACAGTCAACATTTCCTTTTTCCTTTTTTTTTTTGGATGCTGACAAATGAACCTGGGGCCTCTTATACACTAAGTATGTGCCCTACCATTGAGATTACCTTTAGCCCTTCAATATATATTTCTTTTCTTTTTCTTTTTTTTGTAGTACCGGGATTGAACTCAGTACCCTGTGCTTGCCAGGCAAGCACTTATTCTACTGAGCTATCTCCCTGACTCCTCAATATATATTTCTGAGAACAACAAGGAGGGTAAGGGTGAGAATATAGTGGTAGTGCTCTGTCTCCCATAGATACCATTCCTGTATCTAGAGACTCAGGAAGAAACAGAATTGAGAAAAAAGACAAGGCCACATGAGGAGGTATTGAGGCTGAAGCATCTGTGGAACTGCCAGGGGGTGGGACTGTGTCCAACAGGCAGATGGATACTTAGGTCTGGAGCTCTGGCATGAGACCCAGCAGTTATTGATGAGAAGGTTGAGAACAATGAGACCAAAGAAGTAGCAACCTGCATTTGAAGGCTTGATGGCCAACTTTAAGTGACTGGAGTGTTCTGGAATTGGGAAGTTTGTCTAGGAAGGAAAAGAATGGTAGCTGGACCAGCACTGAGACAGAAAAGGGGTGGTTTTTTTTTTTTTTTTTTTTTTTTTTTTTTTCCGCAGAACCAGGGATTGAACTCAGGGCCTTGCACTTGCCAGGCAAGCGCTTAATCTACTGAGCCATCTCCCTGGCCCCTGATTTATTGTTCTCTTAAAGAGGAGTTAGGGATGTAGTTCAGTGGAAGAGAGCTTGCCTCCAATATGCAAGGACCTGGGTTTGATACTCCTTACTGAAAGGAAAAAAAAAAAAAAGCTGCGAAACACACATGTTTAAATGCTGATGAGCAGAAACATTCCTTCAAGGAAGGAGGCCCATATGGATGGGGATAGAAAGGTAAGGTTCTGACAAGCAAGAGAGACAAGAGACATGGATTTTTTTTTTTTTTTTTTGGTGGTACTGGGGATTGAACTCAGGGCCCCATGCACTCTATCTCCAAGCTACAGTCCCAGCACTATGGACTTGTAACCTAAGACTCTGATCTTAATATGACTGATTCCTCTATTCTGCCCTGCCCTCCAGGAGCCTGGCCCTTCCTCTGTGACAGAGCCTGCTCACTTCCTGCGGGCACACTCCCGCTGTGGCCCTGGGTTACCACCACCCCGAGTCCCCAGTCCCCAGCTTACCCCATCAAGTCCTAAAGCCAAGGTGAGAGAATGTGGAGGACAGGAGGAAGAGAATGGTGGGCTATTGGCACAACACATGCTGTTGGTACCCCTCCATGCTTGCCATGTCCTACAGGGGCCACGCCGAGGTGTGGACTTTATTAGTCACAATGCCCAAGCTGCCAAGAGGGCCCCGCGGCGCCATTCTCGCTCACTGCAGATCCTGGCCCAGGTACTGGAACGGCAACGGGAAGCCCAGGAGCACTACAACACCACACAGAAGGGCCACGTTCCCCATTAGTAGGTCCCACTGTCCGACACCCAGGGGGAGGGAGTTGGGATCCAGTCTCCACCCCAGCATCATCAACCCTGGGCTTGGGCCTCTGCAGTTTGCTGGAGCGCAAAGATCTTTGGCAGCGGGAGGCTGAGGCCCAGCAACGAAACCAGCCAGACCCCACCATGCCCCCAGGCCACACTCGCATGCCTGAGGACCAGAGGCTGGAGACACTGAACAATCTGCTGCAGAGTGAGTACTTGAGCAAGAGGGGCTGGATGGGGAGCTCCCTGGGGACCACACATCCCTGCCCAGCAATCAATGTTCCTGGCAACTTATAGCCCAGACCCAGCTGCTGCGTGAGCTGGTACTGCTGCCTGCTGGTGCAGATTCGCTGAGAGCCCAGGGCCACCGTGCTGAGCTGGACCGGAAGCTGGTGCAGGTGGAAGAAGCCATCAAGATCTTTTCTCGACCCAAAGTGTTTGTGAAGATGGATGCCTGAGCCCCTTTATAGGAGCAGGGCCAGGGAGGCCCATGCTGAGGACTTCCACACAGCTGCCAAGGGCAGGGTCAGGCCACATCAGAGAGAAGAGGGCTGAAAATAGCTGCAGTTGGGGGCATAGTACCCCAGAGCACTCTTCCCAATCACCAATGCCTACAGAACAATCCCAACCTTTTAACCCTTTGTCAAAATTAAACATTTTGTACAGAGTTGGATTTGTTACCATAAGAGCTTTTCTACTCTACAAAGCCAAGCTTGATAGCTCTTCTACTGCTTGACTACGGGAGGGTTTCCCCATACCAGGACAGAGGCAGCTTAGATCAAAGAGAAGGAGGCTGGGGCTGGAACACAGAAGGACCATGTTGGTAACTGTAGAAAATCTTTAATGTTGCCCAGGTTAAGAGGGCCCTGTGAGCAAGCTAAAACCTCCCAGTGTAAAGTCCTTGCCATGTCCCAGCAGCCTTGCCTGTCAGAGGCTGAAGCCACTACCATCTCCTCGTATGCTACTTTCCCAGTCAGAGCTGGCCTGTTCTTGGCCATCCAGGGAGGGCAGAGAGCTGCGGGCACCTGGAAGTAGGCAGCCAGGATGCAGGTCCCAGCATGGGGACCCCTGAGATAGCCCATTAGAACAGGGAGTCTGGCGGTTCTCAAGGACCAGGTCACTGCTGTCATCATCACTGTCGGGCTCAGTAGGGCCAGGTCCTGCAGAGGGAGGCCTTGTCAGACGCCCAGATGCCCCTCGCACCACATTGTTTCGCTGGTTGGCAGGCTTGACGGTGACAATAAGGTTATGGCTGTTGGCAACCATCATGTCTGTCACTTGGTCCAAGGTCTTCCCAGCCACTTCAATGCCATTGACCTCGAGGATCTCATCACTGACTGCCAGTAGCCCTGTACTCTCGGCCAGGCCCCCACGTACCAGGCGGGAGATGAAGATTCCTGGAACCCGCTCAAGGCCCTGGGGAGCCACACGGACGCTCATGCCATCTCTGATGTAGAAGCCCAAGGGGCGGTCTGAACCGTGCTTATGCAGCCGCACCCGTCGGTGGGTCTCAGGCAGGAGGTCCACATCTATCACTGAGGAAACCTGGCGAAAATCTTGGGGCAGGCCGATTAGCAAAGGAGGCCGGGTACGCAGTGGTGCCACTGGGCGCAGCAAGAGCCCTTTCTTGCGCCGCTGCAGAGAGTTGGAGGCAAAAGCCAGGCCACTGGAGTCAGCTTCTGCTGCAGGGAAAGAGGGTGTTGAGATCAGAGACTGCTTTCCCACTTGGGCCTTTTACAGTGGGCAGTGTCGCTATTTTCTACCACTTGGAGGTCAGGCGAAGGGCAGGGACTGCAGAGTGTGAAACCTGGGTACCTTGGGTATGGACTAATCCTTGTAGCCCTGCCCTTTTAACCTTACCCCACGAGACCCCATCCTCACCCCGTTTCTGCACGAGTAGGCGCAGTGGTGGGGGCCCGCTGGCCAGAGCCCGGTGCAGGCTGTCATCGTTGGTGAGGGGCAGCAGGTCGCCGTGAGCATCCGTGTAGCCAAGCAGCACATCCAGGCCTGGGATCTGGTGCACCGTACGTAACAATCGTGAGAATTCCTGGAAGCCGCTCACCGAAGCGCGGGGCAGTGCGAAGCGTCGGAACTCGGCGTCAAACTGGAGGCAGAGGGTGAGGGAGAGAGAAAAGGGTCAGGACAGAGCCCGCACCCTTTTCTCACCATAGCTCTGAGGCTGTCAGGGGTGGGAAAGAACGGGCTGCTGCAAACGCTGCAGCCTTAAACCCAAACAGCTCCAATACGGGGACGCTATCCGACCGCCCCCCCCCCATGCACCTCGGCCACAGAGGGACTTTGCAGGCCAGCAGCAGATGGAAGATGGATGGGGGCTGGCAGGCTGAAAAGCAGAATGAGACGTGGAGGATGGAGGACAGAAAGAGGTGAAAAGGACCAAGGAGCCCAAAAGGGAGAGAGGGAATTGGGAGCGCCTAGGGCCGGCGCGGGAGCCGGGGCCCACGGAGCCCTTACTTTGCTCTTCACCTCGACGATGCTGTCAGGACTGCGCCCCGGAGTCCTCTGCGGCCTGGCCATGGCGGGGCCGGGCGGGCCGGGGACGCTGCCCCAAGCAGCCCGCGGAGGCGCAGGTGCACAGCCCGGCCGGCCCGCCCGCGCCGCCCCGCCCCTGGCGGTAGCGATCGCCCCGCCCTCCCATCCGGACCTTGACGTCAAGGGGGCAGTGACACTGAGCAACGCTGAGCCCGCGTTTCCTAGGAAACGGAGATGGGGGTGGGAAAAGTAATCTCTGCTCTGACGTCATTACGCTATGATTCGTGAGCCCCGGGACTCTGAAGAAAGAGCAACTCGGCCAATCCGCGAGGGGGGAATGCAGGAAGTGACATTTATTGAGTGGTGTCTGTGTATTACTTCTCCCGGCTAAAATACACAAGGCTGTGTATTTTGTAGAGAAAGCAGTCATACTAAATGTTTGCTGACGCCTTCGGGTTCACACGGCAAGGTGGCTTCGAGCCACCTCGTTCAGACTATCTTCAGCCGGTCTCGGGTCTTGGATCCCTCTGCAGATCCGCGATAGCCTCTGGCTCCTTTCAGAAGACACGGGAGTATTGAACGACCCAAAAGCCAGGGTGCTTTTCTTTTTCTTTTTGTCTTTGAGACAGGGTCTCGCTATGCAGTTTAGGTTGCCTTGAGTTTACTTTGTAGCCCAGGCTGGTCTCGAACTTGCAACTATTCTAGTGCTAGGATTACAGGCGCGCTACCACGCCCAGTTTTGGGGGGGTGCCGGAAATTGAATTTAGGATCTTGAACTTGCTAGGCAGATGCTGTGCCGCTGAGCTATATCCCCAGCCTAGATGCTCGGGTAAGAATAATCGGGCCAGCAACCCTCCCACTGAGCAGACACCTGCACTCATAAATTTCCCAACGCGTTGTCCTGGCGCGCACGCGCGGCGAACATTGGGCGGGGCCTGGGCCCTGGGACCCGCCCGAACGTCACGCGCTTCCTCTTCCGACAGGGGGCGGGGCAGCGGCGCGGGCGGGAAACCTCTGCCAGCTGCTTTCCAATAGGTGCCGCGGCGGGAATGGCAGGTATGGGGACTCTGGTGTTGCGGCCTTGGATTCGAGAGTTGATCCTGGGGTCGGAGGCACTCTCAAATCCACAAGCTGGGCAGCTCCTTAAGGTAAGCCTCCACTCGTGGCCCAGAGCCCGGGGCAGGAACTGGGCCCGGGATGGTGAGATTGACATGGGACGCTGTGGTCAGGTGTTGCAGGATGTGGTGACCGCGGGCCCATCCCACACCCCTGACATCCTTGACGGCGGGGCCATGCTGCTTGTGTCTGACGGGACCCACAGTGTCCGATGTTTGGTGACACAAGAGGCCCTGAACACTTCAGACTGGTGAGAAAGATGCTGGACTCCCGGAGGCTCCAGCACAGCTGGGGAGGGCAAGGGCGTGTTTGAGCCCAAGGTGGGCGGGGCTGTGTCCGAGAGAGCTAGGTGGTGAGGGTTGCACTCCCCCTGCAGGGAGGAGAAGGAGTTCGGATTCACTGGGGCCGAGGGCCGGCTACTCTTAGTGCAAGACTGTGGGGTATGCGTCCAGATTGCTGATCGTGGCTCGGTGAGTGCTGAGGCTGGTGTGGGCAGGTTACTGGACCTCGGTCTTCTCAACAATACTTGAGTTCCACCCTCCCACCAATTTCTGCAGCCTGCAGAGTTCTACCTCCAGGTGAACCGATTCAACCTGCTGCCCACAGAGCAGCCCCGGATACCGGTGACTGGTTGGTAAGTGATGTGGCCAAAGGCTCTGGGTGTAATGTAGTGGCAGAGCACTTGATATCTGAAGCCCAGGCTTCAATTCCTGGTGCGGGGATGGGGGGGGGGACATATCTCCACCTTCTGTCTACCTAGCAGGAGGCCTACATAGGCGTTTGGGTGGAAGGACTTGGGTCTTCAGTACCATTGACTACCTACCATCCTCTCTTCCCCAGCAACCAGGACCTGGATGTGCAGAGAAAGCTCTATGACTACCTAGAGTAAGTCTGCACTTGGGCTCTGGAACCAAGTGAGGTCTATTTGGGGGTGGAAGATCTGGGTAGACAGGCCCCAGGATTGTTCTTGAGGCCTGCCACTCTGTTTCTGTAGGGACCACCTTTCAGAGTCCAACTCTTCCAATGCAGGTACTGGTAGAGGTTTTCCAGTGACCCTACCAAACTCCCTGTGGAGTAACCTTTCCTGCTGTCACCCCATGTTTCCTCAGTAAGTACCTCTCCACATTCTATTTCCTTTCTTCTTGAGCTTCAATCCATTGTCTGGTCCCCTGTCCCAGGCCTAACACTGTCTCAGCTTCTGAATGAGGTACAGGAGGACCAGGAACATCGGGGGGCGCTGGTTCACTTGGCTGCAAGCTGCCTAATCCTGGCAGGCCCTTGCACAGCACCCCCCCTCACCCGCTGGGCTGCCTCTCGCTGCAATACCACGGTCAGTGTGGGGCTTCCCTCGGAAAGTGTCAGGGTAAGGAGTAGGGCAAGGGCCAGGCTGAGAGTTCATGTCCTATAGGAAGAAGTCCTGTACACTGTTCCCAGCTTATTGCTGCACATCTCTGAGAATGACCAGCAAATTCTGAACTCTCTGGGCTCAAGTCAGAGGACACAGGGTAAGAGCTAAAAAAGTTAAAAGGGGAGTTCCTGGGGCCCAGGACCCACAATGCTGAACCACCCAAGAAACCCCAGATCATGAACCTAACTCCACCACAGTGGGCTCTCTAAGATTTATCTCTGATCCTGATCTCCTGACATTTCCTCTTAGCTGCTCAGGGGCAGTGGTGCTCAGGCCAGAAAAACTGGTCAGTTGACTTCCTAGCCTGTGCAGGATGCTGTGAAATGGTGTGAGGAGAGTGGAGTGAATACAGACCTTACAGCTCTCTGAGCCAAAAGGGCTGTATCCACAGTATTGCCCCTCTTCCTCAGGAGCCCCTGCCTTACCTGAGTATGAGCCTATAGAAGACAGCAGTGCCAGCATCAGCCTTCTGCCCGCCCTATCTTCGGCTGCTCCAGACCCAGTGCAGAAGGATAACGTCCAGCCTTCACCAATCATTCGCGCAGCCCCTGAGCCCCTGCTTCCCAATTCCCCACCCCGCAGTCAGACACCCAACTCTTCACCTCTGACGTGCACTCCCAGTCTCCCACCCCTTGGCAAGGCTGCCAGTCCACATCAGGCTCATAATACCAGGCCTCAGAAGCTTACCCTGGAGTTCAAGGAGCAAGGGTCAACCCCTTACAAACAGCAGCCTTCTCCAGGGACCAGAGCCAAGACAGCTCAGGAGCCCTGTGTTGTCTGGGTGAGCATTGTTCCTCTACAACTGGAGAGGAGAATAGCAAGGGCCTTGGACAGAGCTGGAAGGGGAGTGGGGATAGCCTTTGATGGGGTTAGGGAGCCTTGTTGGCCCCTTCCCAGACACTGCACCCCTTTTAGAATCCCCCCAAAAGGCATCGTGATGGTTCCGCCTTCCAGTATGAGTATGAGCCACCATGCGCCTCCCTCTGTGCCCAAGTCCAAGCAGCTAGGTGAGTACCCAGGACTGCCCTTTGTTGGTCACCAGTCCCAGGCCATCTTGACTGAAACCACAGTTTATTCCCAGGTTACCCCCCCAGCTTGTGGCCTGGGCTTTGCACTTTCTGATGGAGCCAGAGCCACAGCCTGAGCTGACTTAGTGTGAAGGATCATGCGAGCATATTGGAAGATATGCACACACAGTTCCAGACAAGGACAGAAAGCATCCCACACTCTGCTTCCTTCAAGTTTTTTAATAAAATAATCTCATGCGGCAGGAGAGGAGAGGATCAGGGGTTGGGGCCGCCGCCTCTTTGGTCTGTGGCTGGGGAGGGTGGGTTCTGCTCGGGGCTGGGGCTGGAGGGCTCTGTGGGCCGAGGGGGCAGAGGCTCAGTTCCAAGGCCAGATCCTGTGAGGGAGAGGAAAAATGGCTGAGGGCTATGCCAAGCAGTCCTGCCCCACTCCTAACAGGTTCTGGCCACTTCTTACCTAGGCTTGGGGATGGTGGTGCCTCGAGCTTTGGTCTTCGCTTGAGGACTGGGGAGCGCTGCAGCCGCAGGGGCCGTTCTAAGGGGCACAGAAAGGCTCGCTGTGAGTCATCTCCGACCCCTCTCACCTCCAGTGCATGCAAGAGTGCACATACATTATTGCCCTTTCCCCTGCTTCCTCCACCCCTGGCAGAAGTGGCTTTTCTGGAGGTGGAGCCAGGGTGTGTAGGAAGGACTTGTCATACACTTGCTCCTGGCCTTCACATCACTCGTGGCCCCCTCCATGGCCCAGAACCACAGTGGAAGCCCAGGCACCCACGCTCCCCCACTTCCTGCACTCAAGCACACATGGAGGTGTTTCCCTCACCAGCAGGGGCCTGGAGCTGGTCCTCATGCACAGACACTGCTCGTCGCCCTGCCGAAAGAGGCCTCGGCCTCAGCTGGCCATCTGGGGGAGGCCAGGGTGTCAGGGTTTGCTTCCAAAAGTTGCCCCCACTCCAACCCTTCACTCCCACCTGCATGTCCCCAGGAAAGCAAGTTCCCAGCAGGGAATCCTCCAGTCCTCAGCCCATAGTTGCAATAGGGGGTGGAATGCTTGCCTACCTTCGTTCCTGGGGCCCAAACAAGGATCCTCTGGAAGACCCAGGATGTCTGGGGCAGGGCTGGCTCTGCGGAGGTTTGGGCTGGGACAAGGTGAGGGTGGGCCTGGACCATCCTGTTGGCCCCAACCACGGCCTCTCAGCTCTGCATTCAACTGCTGCCCTAGTGTCTTCCAGGTGGCAGGCTCAGGCCCCTGTGCCCCTGTGCCAGGTCTACATGAGGGGTCTGCGGGGAAAAGTGTCAACTGAGACCTAGGCCAGGCCTTGGAGATGATAATGGTCTCTCTCTCCTCTCCTCTGCTCTCTTCTCCTTTCCTTTCCCCTCCCCTCCCCCCTCTCTGTCCCTTCTCCCTCCCCCTCCCTTCCCTTCTCTCTCCCTCTCCCCTCCCTTCCCTTCTCTCTATCTCTCTGTCTCTCCTTGTCTCTCTCCCTCTTCTCTGCTCTCCTCTCCTTTCCCCTCCTCTCACCCCTCTCTCCCTCTCCCTCACCTCTCCCCTCCCCTCTCTCTCTCCCCATCTCCCTCTTCCACTCCCCTCCCCTGCCCTCCTCTCTCTCTCTTTCTCTCTCTCTCTCTCTCTGTCTCTCTCTCTCCCCCCCTTCACCTTCTCCTTCTTCTCCCTCTCCTCCCACTACTTTCTTTTGACATGGTCTTGCTATATAGTTCAGTTGGCCTAGAACTCACTATGTAGCCCAGGCTGGCTTTGAACTTGAAATGAACCTCTTTCAGCCTCTCACATCCTGGGATTCAGGCATGCACCATCTTGCCTGTTCTTGTGTAGCCCTGTATTTCCCCAGCACACAGTGGCCCTCACTCACCAGCAGACACAGAATGAGTTCGGGACTTGATTGAGATGGGCGGGGTCTCTGTGGAGCTGTCCATAATGTCACCTGCAAGGTGGGGCTGAGCACTCAGGCAACAGACCTTATGGGTAAGGGGAAGAAAAAACTGGCCTCTCCCCATGTCCCAGGAAAGTAGGTGTGTTGGGGATCATCTCTAAGAACACCCCCTGAATATACTGCCTTACCCCAGTGTTCCACTTACCATCTGAGCCAGCTTTCTTGATTTCACCATCTTTGCTCTGTAGGAAACAAGGCAGTAAAACTTCAGCCCTGCCTCCCTTGCATTACCCTTTGCTTCATTCTTGTTCTTATAATCCAGTCACAGAATGTCCTCTCTGAGCTGGGCAAGAATATGGCAAGCCCAGTCCCAGCCACCTAAGTGCACAGTCTGAGATGGCAGTTGGTACACAAAAACATGCACATTCCTAGACACATCCTGTTAGTTCTGCAGTGTACTTCCTCCACTTCAGTGTTTCTAAATGCAGAGGTCCTACTTTGTATGTGTGCTTTCTGAAGAGCCGTTAGGTAGCTGGTGCACAGGACTGTGGTTCTTAATAGGAACTGTGATCAGAGTGACATTAGCAGGATGGCCACAGAAAATCTGAAGGCTCTCGGGGAATTACTGAAATGGCTGAGGAGGAATCTGGTATAACCCATGATAACACTGGCTGCAGAACAGGGAGGGCCCAGACTAGCACCCACAAGGAAGATTTGAGATGTCCAGAGGGAAAAGAGCAGAAAGTGGCCAGAACCAAGGTCCCATTGGACCTTATTGCAGCAGGATTAGAAGCATGAGCTGCGTTGGAGCCCCTGGACTTTCAAATACAGGTGACAAAGTCAGATTTCTGTTAGACCTGCAGAAAAAGGACTTTGAGTCCTAGGAGGATGTATCAATGGCACAAGTCAAGAGGAAAGAAAGTTAAATCCCATGACTCTTAAGGAGAAAATTAGTGGAACTGATAATTAGATCTGTGTGTACTATAAGTCCCCTTTGTGGTTACATGTCATCTGTCACCTACAGATTGCCATATGCCACCTCACTTTACCCTTGACCCCCCAAACTCACTTGCTTCCTCTTGCCTTCAGCACTCCCACTGCCCCGGCTCACACCGATCCTCTGCAGCATAACTTGTACCCGCTGTTCAAAGGATGGGGCCAGCTCTGTGTCTCCCCGTTCTAGGGGCCGTCTCTGGGAACAGAGAGGGCTGAGTCAAGAGAGAAACCCTTCCCTGAGTTTCCAAAGAATCCTTATCCTGGTCATCAGCCCTCACCTTGTCAGGTCTGGCATTCAGTGTCTCCTCCTCCTCAGCAGGCAGCAGTATCATTGAGTAGGCCTTGCTTTCCCTTGTGTACCGAGGCCGGCTTCTGCGGGCAGGGTCAGGGCTGCTAGGGCCCCCCTCAGCCCCACCAGGCTCCTCACCTCGGCCAGGACGGGCTGGAGGCCGCAGTAGGTCCCCAAGTGTTGTTTTCCGGGTGCGGGCAGCTGCACCAAGGCTGGTCTCTAGATCAGGCCGTGGACCCCGTGTTGAACGAGGCTTCTTAAAGGCAAAGAGGGTGCCCAACTTCTTTCGAAGTGTACGGGGGACAGGAGTGGCACCCCCTTCGGTGGCCAGGTCCTCCTCGGGGGCCCAACTGTGGGAACAAGCAGTAGTAAGTGAGGAAGCCCATGGGCATCCCACCCTCTCCCACCCCAGGCAACTGCCCCTCACTCACAGGCGATCCTGCTGGATCAGCCTTTTGGAGAAGAATTCCTCCACGCCCTCGTCCACGCGGGAACTGAGCCCATTCCCTTCCTGCGGCAGGGCTGGGGGAACCTGAACAATACCATGAGGTCAGGGGTCAGGTTTGAGTGCAACTGTGGCTTCCCCCTGCTCCCGTGTCCAGCAGGCTGCTGTAGTAGCAGGAAGATCCCAGGGCTGGGTAGCCCTAAGGAGCTGCGCATACTAGCCCTCCCATTGTCCAATGCTGGGCAGAAGTGCTTGGTTTCACACACTCCCTTCCATTGCTGTCCTGGCATACACAGCCCGCCCACACTCATTCCTGCTCCACGAGTTAACAAACCTGGCCCACTAGCGGGCTACAGCACCCTTGTGTCCCTGGGGTCACACATTCCACCTGCCAATCCCTCTGCTTCCAGTCATTCCCTGCAGTACCCTCATCACCACCCCCACCCCTCCCGGCCTGCTGCCGCTGCTGCGTCAGACCCTCGGGGCCTCTGCTGGCTCTTCCTCGACTTCCGCCAGTGCCCACTGCCCCCGCCAGATCCCAGCCCCCACACACATCACTCCATACATATACCCGCTGGACACACAGCAGACACAGGAGTGTCCCCAAGGCCCTGAGTGAAGGAGGGCAAAACAGACACCCTCACAGGCCATTCATGCAGAGGGCCATTCTGAGGAGTCCTTCACCCAGGGCCCCCCCACGAAACCCGCACACTCGTGGCCCTACATAAGCATAGCCTGGGATGGAGGGTGGCCAGGACGAAGCCAGAACTCGGCCCGTGACCAAATGGCCTTGGGCCCCACAACCAGCCTCCCTGCCCGCCATCACCGTGCGAAGTGCCCGACCACCCATGACCCCCAAGTCCACAAGCTCCGGCACGGGGGAGGTCTCTCACCTGGGGGCCCCCAGGCGGCGGGCGGTGATGGTGCTGGCGGCGTGGCCGTGGCCGGGCCCGGGTCGGATGGCGCAAGGGCTGACCGGCGGGCGGCAGGTCCATGCGAGGCAGCGGGCCCGCCGGGGGCCCCGGAGCGGCGGGGCTCGGTGAGCCGCGCGCGGACGGCCCCGCCTGCGGCTCAGCATCTTCTCCCGGAGCCGCCAGCTCGGGCTCCGGCTCTGCTTCCTCAGCAGCACCTGAGGCGAGAGCACCAGAAGAGCACCAAGCGCCGAGCCCGGGGGAGGTGGCGGCGGAGCTAGGGCGGCGGGGGACCCGCCCTGGGCGTGGGGAGGGGCCCGGCTACGCTGCCCGCCCCGCCCCCCGCCACCGCTGTCCGTGGTGCTGAGCGCGGCCCCGAGAGCGCGCGGCTCCGCATCACCGCTAAGCATGCGCATCTGGGAGTAGGGAGAGGGGTAGGTGGAGTAAGGGAGATGGTGACCTGGCCCTGCTGGGCTCAAGATTCACTCGGTCCTGACCCCAATTTTGCGGGTTGTACGAGGTTCTGGCCTGGCCCGGGCAGGCCCGGGCAGGGGTTACAAAGTACCCAGGACAGGACAGAATGAATGTCAGTCTAGTTGTCCAGATCCCCAGGTCTAATGGAGGTTCACCTCAGTTGGCTCCTTAAGGCCATGGCTTACTGTGATCGAAGGAGACCCAGTGAAGACAGTGGTTGTGCTCAGGCCACTTCCTCAGAGGACTTTCATCCTGCTGGTGAAGGCACAACCTCAGCCTCGATTGGGAAGGCACAACTTCAGAATTCCCTCTTACCTTCCACACCCCAGAGCAAGAAGGGAGGATTCTGAATCCCAGACCTAGCATTCCAGGATCACTTACCTTCTCTTCCTTGTCCTCAAGGAAGAAAAAACCTTCCAATGCCCCAGGCTCCAGGGGGCTTGGCTCACCTCCATCCAGTGCTGGGAGGTCAGGGGGCATTGATACTGGTGCCTGTTGAGCCAGGCTCTCCACCTGAAATACCATATTACCCAAGGATGGACAATGCTAAGAGAATGATGACTGGCCCTGGGCTACATGAACCCAGAAGATATCACAGAGCACCTCATAGAGGATGGCCAGGTAACTCTGTGTATGTGCAAATATATGAACAGCCAGCCCACCCCCACTCCCTTACCAGCCGATCCCGGGCTGCATTCAGGCCTGCCAGAGCCTGAGCTACAATGCTCTCTGCAAGGGTCCTGCATTGTCTCTCAGATAGGCGCACATCCCTAAGAACAGGAGAGTATGGGTGAGCTTGCTGACTCTCCCCAACCTTGCACAGCTTTTCTCAGCCCAACCTACCTGAGTCTGATGAAGGCATCTTGCAGCAGCTGCTCTGGAAGCAACCCTGGGAGGCCCTTTGAATCCACAAGAACCCCTTCTAGTTGCTTTTTCCAGCCAGGTCCCTGCAGCATCTGGGGGCAGAGGCTCCTTGTGTCCAGTATGGCCTGAATGAAGTCCTGGAAAAAGGGCAGAGTGTAATGTGGCTTTTGCCAGGGTCCAGGTCTCTTCGCTTGAAGCTGTACCCCCACTGACTCAGAGGATATAACAGCTATGTCAATGGGAGGGGTCAAGCTTGCATATGGAGGTAGGGCTAGGGCAGGAGGGCATCTCACCTGGATGTCCTTGTGGCAAACCTCACCCAGCTGTTCCAGAAGGGCCTCCAGCTTCTGCCTCCACTGCCAGTGATGGCTTGGGGAGTTCCCAGCTTCATTTAGAATGGGGAGAATCTGAGGTCCAAGGAGGAAAAAGAGTTTCAAGTTGACATGTGACTAAGAGGGGAAAGGTCCTTGTAGGGGGAGGGAGAGTGCTCACACTGAGAAAAAAGTTGGCATTTTGAATGGCATCCTCTGCTTGGTGTACAGCAGCTTCACTCTGGGGCCCAGATCCACAGCCCAACAGCTCCATGTGCTCCTGCACTGACTGACACAGCTCATTCACCTCCTGAGGGGCATCGGGGATCAGTCCTGTGTTAGTCATCTCCTAGGCTCCCAGACTCTGCCTGTCTTCCTCCTTTCTAGGGCCTCAGCTGGGGGCGGGCGGGGGGGGGGGAGGTGAGGCCTGAAGTTGCATTCCAGGCCACCACTTAGGAACCTTATCTCTTCAAGGAGGGGAGAAATGTTTCTCCTTTTGGATCATTTAGGAACTTGGCATTTTGTAAGTAACCAGAACAGAGAGGGACATTTTAGTCATTCTATGTTTGAGAAATTCAGGCTGTCCACCTAGAAAACAGGAGAGAGAGAGAGAGAGAGAGAGAGAGAGAGAGAGAGAGAGAGAGAGAGAGAGAGAGAGATATGAACCATAGCAGAGGGAGAAGCGAAGGACAGTTGCTGTGGAGGTGAGGAGGAGTGCATGTTTGAGAGTTGGTTCACAGTCAGCACCAAGGGGACTCTGATGAGTCCAATGTGGCCAGGCAGGAGGGATCTTGAAAAAAACTTTTACTCACAGCACTTGGTGGTTGTGGGCACCAGGGAAAATGGACTCCAAGGCAGAGAATGGGGTTTGTGGGAGATGATGAGGTCACTTAAAAACATGCAGAGTGTGATGCCGTCACAGGATATTGAGATTAAGGTGCCTGGGTGTGGGAGCTTAGCAGAGAAGAGATTTGGGAATGGAGAGATGGGAACATCTTGAAAAGAACAAGAAATAGAGGAGAGGGGGCCCAGCCCTAGCTCAGTTCTTTAAGAGGCTGCTTCCACAATGCTGGCAGCCTCAGTTTGCTGTAGTTCGATCCCCACAACACTCAAGCCATGCAAAAGTGCCCTGAAGAAATAGAGATGATGCCAGAGATAGGGCTGCTGGGTTTGAAATCACAGATGTTAGTGGATAGAGGAGGGGAACCCCATGAATGGGAGTCACAGATAGGGTACAATCAGGAAAAATGAGGTAGGATTTTTAAATACACCCTATCTTTAATAGGAAAGCCTGTTTCTATGCTGAAAGTAAAGCAGGCAGGGGTACTATTGGGGAGCTATTTCTGGAGCAAATGGCTGTCTCTAGACCTAGGAGAGGAAACTATATGGGACAACAGGACTCAGCACCCTGGGCTCAGGAGTCATAGCCTCTGACTCATGAACACTCACACAGTACCAGGGAGGGGAGCAGCGCTGACCTGCTCTGAGTGCTCTGAGACCAAATTCAATGGCTGAAGGCAGGATGTGAGGCCAGAAGAGGTGGGATCCTCGCGATTATTCCTCAAGAGACAGGCCTGGATCTGAGGGCAAGGAGGACTGAGAAATGGAAGAGGGTGGAGCCACTGCGCAAAGCGTGTCAGGGGAGGAGAACCCACCTGATGGACTGCTCGTGCGGTCAGTTCTGGGCGGCTGCGCTGCGCCTGGGCCACGTCATTTAGAGGCAGAGGCATAGCCTTTAAGCTGTGGTTCTGCTCCAGGGCCTGCGCCACATCCAGCAGCCCCAGAGCAGATGTGTGGTTCCGATCCCAGATCACAGACCTGAACAAGGTGGGGTTTTAGTAGGGGGTGGAGCCCCACAAGGCCTTATCCAACCCACAGGCTTGGTCCATTTGTTTGGTCCAGCAGGCTGCTCTTTGAGCCCCGCCCCTTCATACCACACCCTCCTCCTGTATTGGTCCCACTCTTATAACACCGCCCACCGGAGCCGCGTGTTGACTCGTAGCGCCTTGGCCAGCATTTTGGCGCCCGGATCTCCCATGGCGTTGCCACTGATATCCAGCGCGGTCAGGTTAGGATTAGTGCCCAGCGCTCGCAGCAGGACGCTGGCGCCCAGTTTGAGCCGCGAGTCAGCCACAGACAGAGACTGCAAGGGCTGGGGTTAACAGAAAGCCATGACTGGTGTCAGCAAAGAGGGCAAGTCAGAGGCCCTGAGGAAGGGAGAATCAACATGTCAAAGAGGTCTATTGTCTGAGCACCCGGAAAGGTACTGTGAACTCACACAGTCGTCATCTTGCATGAGCTGGACGATCCGGTGCAAGACATCATCCAGGGTTTCCCTGTAGGCAGAGGTCTATGTTGGGAGAGGGGGCCAGGGTAGTGGGATGTTGCTTGGGAGGCCTGGGGTGAGATGGAGGCTCACTTGCACCGGACGTTGAAGTTTCTTCCAAGTGCTACATGTCTCAGGGACCGGCTCCTCCCAATGGCTAGCACAAGAGTCACCATGTCTGAGCCAAAGCCTGGGGGTAACTAGAATCACGTTCAAGGCGAGACTGCTGGGGTGGGGTGAAGATTGGGAATTGGCAGGAGAACAAAGAGGAGGGGTGGGAGGACTTACCATTATCTGCCAGATCCAAGGAGCTCACAACGCCTGCATCACACACTAAGTCTTGTATCACCTGGGCACCCGCAGAGCGCAGCTGGAAGTGGAAGGTGAGGTGCATTCAGGAGATTGGGGGGGGGGGAGGCGCAGGCAGCCAATGTGTGAGAGCTCTGTGTTCTCACCCATAGGGTAGGATGCTCACCTCACAAGCACTGAGGTCCAGGTGCAAGTCTTGGATATGTGTGTTGAGTGCCAGGCCATCAAAAACAGCCCTGGGAGAGGACAACAAGTAGGCAATGCAAGCCAGGGTAGGCGGCACCCGCATATGAAGGAATACCAAAAAGGCAGAATGAAGGGAGTCTGGAGGTTTCAAGTGTTGGGATTGCAGAGTAAAGCCCCAGAGGCTGGATCAGGGTGGTTTTCTTAAGTGAAGGGGCATGGTTGAGCACAGTGTCACTTACCTGAGCGCTTCATGTGGCAGTTTGCAGCCTGCCAGGCCCAGGTACCTCAAGGTCTCTGCATGGCTGAGGAAGAGCTGCAGTGGGGCAGGGGCAGCCTGGGATTTGCTGGGGTGGGGAGTGGGAGAAACGGACTTCAGGCACAGGGCAGTGGCTTCTTGCAGGCTCCCTAGCCCCAATCACCATGGTAACCCTACCATCGAGAGAAGACATTCCTGGAAGTGTCCAGGTGGGTAAGGCTGGCACAGCAGCCACGGGACAGTGCTTCAAAGAGCTGCAGGAGGAGGGTGTTGGCTAGAGAGAGCACCAAGCCCTTCCCACCTCCACCTGCCCTCCACTCAACCCAGCTTGGACTACCCAGCCTGGCCAATCACCACCACCACCACCCCACGAACACCCCTCACAGTGTCCAGTGCTGCGTCTGTGCCTGCAAGATTCAGGAACATCAAAAAATTAGGACGGCTCAAGAAACTATAGAGACCCTGGTAGGAAGTTGAGGGTGAGAAGGGGTTAGTTATTTCCTACTTAGGGCTTCTGGACATCCAACTGCCTGCATCACACTAATAGGGTGAAGACAGCCACTCACCCCATTGTCCTCTGAAGCCCCTAGTGCCCCAGGATTCCCAGAAAGGTCCAGATGTGTCAGAGCAGAGTCAAAGGCTGCATTGCAGGCCAATGCCCGGCCCAGAGCCCTCATTCCTGGCAGGAGGGACAGGATGGCTCAGCAATCAGACAGACCCCTTTCCCCTCTCCCACTGCATCTCCTGGCTCACCTCGAGATGTCAACCCTGTCTGGGCTAGGCTGAGTCTCCTGAGGGCTCCTGGCCGTTGTTCTAGGTGTCTGCCAAGTGCAACCATACCTGGGGATTGGGTAGTCCTGTGAGCTTCCCATCCCCCAGCTTCTGCCTCTTGGTTTCTCCAGGCTCAGTCATACCTCTATCATCCAGCAGGTTCCCCGCCAAGCTAAGCTCTCGAAGCCCAGAACATGAATGTCCTGCCAATGCGTGGGCCAGTCGCCGGACAAAGTCTCTGAGTACCAAAACCCCAGATGTGAGATTGACTCTGGATTCCCAAGTCTTCCCCAGGGGACTGGCACCCACTCCAGTTTCCAAGCACCACCCCCCAAGGCCCTATCCAGCTTTCTCACCCCTTCAGGCCACAGGTCTCCAGCACCAGCTCTTCTAGGTGGGATGACTGACCCATCATGTACAGAATCTGTTCTGAGACTTCTAGGCTCTAAGACCAGAGGGTGATGGCTCAGTAGGGTGCACCCCAGCTCCAATACTCCTAGTTCCCCCTCTCTACAAGCTCACCAGCTTCATGTCCACACAAGAGAGGCACCGGAACCACAGGTTATAGGACAGGGCAGCCACACTCAAGGCCAGGTCTCTAGATAGAGGGTGGGGAGAAGGGTAGGGACAGAACTCAGGTCCTCCTGGCAAGGTCCTAGGCCAAACATCCCCTCCATACAGAGACTGAGGCCCAGGAATATGGTTCTGGACTCCTGTTCCCCTCCCAAGCCTGATAGGCCTCGCACCGGCTGCCAAGGTGGCTGAAGTCTCCTAGATTAAACTGGCGGCATCCTTGACGATGGTAGATTGTGTCCACATCCTGGATGGGAAGAAAGTAGCTACAACTGGCTTGAGACCACAAAGGACAAGGAGGGGTCAGCACACATGGGGGATGAGATGTTTCCACAGTCCCCTGGAGAGGGCCCTACCCTCACCCACTGAATTTCTTCTCGGAAAGGGAAGCCATTGTAGTCACACAGAGCCTCATATGTCTCCAAGAAGCCACCTGGGGAGGTGCCAGCCGTATGAGGAAAGAAGAGAGGCAAAAAGGTGGAGAGAGATCAGACTCAGGCTGAGTGGCACCCCTGACCCATGTGGTTCTGTTGAGTTTGGAAGCCCCTCAACTCCAAGTATCTGGGGCTGCCTGGAAAGTCTATGTGGCCCTTACCACAGGGACTGCTGGGGGTTGCGGACTCGGAAGAGATGCTTTTCCCCAGCCGAGCCAGCATTGAGGGTGGTGTGGGCTTCCGGAAGAGCTTCCTGGAGAGCAGGAAAAAGAGAAGGCACAAGGCACTTGTAGTCTTGAGAGAAGTAGCCCACTTGTGCTCATCAGAACACTCCCAGCTGCCTTCCTCCAGCCCTTTGCAGTGCCAGGTCTCACCCAAGGGCTGAGCGAGGGAAGACCTTCTTGATGGCCGAAGCCACATGCTGGGCCAGCTGTTCTAGGATGGCCACACCAGGAAATTCCAGGACCAGATCAGGCAAGGACTCCAGCTCAAATGTGACCTGAGGAGGAGATGCTGACCCTCACCTTCATGTGTGGGGCCAGGTATCCTATCCAGAGCTGTATGAGTAAGGGGTTAGGGATGCAGGTGCAGGCCCAGGTGGGGCACTAGATATCTCACCTGAGGGGGTGTCTCCTGCAGTGTCATGGCCTGGACCTCTAGGTAGCTGAAAGTGCAATCCACCTAGGGAGTGATGGGGTCAGTTGGGACCAAGGCCCAAGTGCCACCCTCCTGGGACCTCAGTTGTCTTTGGGGGAGGCGGTACTAGGAATTGAATGCATGGTCTTTGCACTGAGCCACAGTCTTAGCTCCTTGTATTTTATGTTAAGACAGGGTTTCACTAAGTCATTGAGTTTACTCAGGCTGGGTTCGAAACTGTGGTCATCCTGTTTCAGCCTCTCACAGTCCGGAGACTACAGGTGTGTTCACCTTCCCTGCTGGGCCCCAGTGCTGTTGGGCAGCCAGATCACACAAGGACAAGAGGACAACTCTACAGGTGGAGGCCCTGCCAAGGAAGCTGTAGGAGGGCAAGGGTGGTGGTGGCCAGGCCCTAGGACTCACCCTCAGTGGGAGACTGGTGTGTAGCAGGTAGGCCCTCCATCGCAGCAGTGCCTGGGGGAGACAGAGTCTGATATTTGAGCAGAAGCAAGAGACTTTGTACTTGGGCCCAGGTGCCTTTCTGGACTCTGCTTCTGCCCACCATACCAGAATGTAACTTCGCTCAACACCTTCCTGGGGAAGCCAGGTTTTTAGAAGCAGCTCTGCTTCCTTTGGCCACAGGAACCTGGTGATCTCGCCTGTGGAAGGAAAGCCTGCTGGATGACTTTAGTCCTCCTGTCAAGGTCACTGGTGCCTAATGTAGCCACTCTTGCTCACTGCCTGTGCCCCACTGTTGCTCACTGCCCGTGCCAGGCTCGGTTCCGGAGGCTCTACTATGGGGCAACCAGGAAGTGCAGTGGATCTGGGGTTGGCCCAAAAAAGAAGCATCGAGAAGCTGTGGAGTTGTGGGGGCGCTGGGTGAGCCTTTGGTTTGGGGCCACGCTGCCTCAGCCCAGGGAAGTGGGCAGGAAGGGGCAGCGCTTACCTCGCAGCTCACAGGAGATGCAGTCCGGGGTCTGGGCCATGGAACCCAGCTGGGCGGGCCGCTGTAGCCCGAGCTGGGGCGGGAGAGCAGCAGGCTGGCGCACACACAGGAAGCCTAGGGCCCGGGCCGCTCAGCAGCCACCTGCTCCTCCTGTAGCGGAAGATAGGCGCAGCTTCCTGCCAGCCGCCCCCGGCCCGGCCCCTCCCTGGTCTTGGGGGCCTAGGAGGCCCTGTATAGAGTTGGCGGGAACTTCTCCGCCTAGGTGCACCTGCAGAGGACAGGACGTAATGGTCGCGTAGACAGAGTCACGCGTGTACCTTGCCTCCTGTAGTTTCTCTCGCGCGGCTTCCCACCCCGCCCTGCAGTCCCTGCTGCGAACACCAGGGAGCGCTGCCCACCAGATGATCCCTGGCCCACTCTGGTGCAGCCCCTCCTCAGCCAAGGCGGGAGCCGCAAACCTGCTCAGGGAGGAGTCGCTCTGCCAGGAGCGACTATCTCCCAACAACAGGCCCGCCCAGTGGTTTCCAGATTGGGTTCATGACTCCGTAGGGGATGTATGAACTTCTGAAAAGAGGTTTTTTGTTTTTTGTTTTTTTTTTTTTTAATTGCCAGGTGGGGCCCAGGCCTTTTCTGTTGTAGAGTCCCCAGCTTCATCAGATTGATACTGCGTCCGGGTATGGAAGGTGGTAAGGTAGCAGGTGCTCTTATGGAGCAGCCTCACGTAAAATCTGAACCTCAGGGATCCTAGGCAAGGCTAGAGTAACCCATAAGTAAAGGCTAGGTACATGGGTGTTTTTGTAGTTTTGTTTTGGGTGGTAGTATAAACCCACAACCTGCCAACTGAACTGCAGCCCCAGGCTTTTTTGATACAAGATCCCACTAAATTGCCCAGGCTGGGTTCAAACTCACGTTCCTCCTGTTTTAGCCTCCCAGAGTGCTGAAACTACGGGCATGGGGTACTTTTTTTTAGCGGGGGGGGGGGTTACTGGGCTGGGCATTGAACCCCAGGACCTTTGCACTGAGCTACCTTCCCTGCCCCATTTACTTACGCATTTATTCAGCTGTAGCAGGTGTTTCCCTAGCTATGTAGTCCAGACTGGATTCAAATTCACAACAACCTGCCTCAGGATCCTGAGTGCTGGACCACACGGCTCATGCTATCATCCCAGGGCTTGTGCCTGGAGTTTTGTTTGGGAAGGCGCCACTACTAGAGAAGCTAGTGTCTCCAGGAAAGGCCAGGAGAGTCGGAGGGTAGAGGCCTGCCAGACAGATGCATGCTGCCCTATAAAACAGGAGGGGACTTTGATTCTTTTGGGCTGAGAGGGACTTCTCCCATTTCATTATGAATGTTAAACTCCACTTAGGAGGTAAAGAGCAGTCTTCTACCCTACCCTCAGCTCAGGTAGACAGACCTGAAAGAAGAAATCACATACTGGGCAGTGGTCCTTTGGTTCGCATCTTAGCTGTCCTTCCCATGGAGACAGTGGGATGATACCTCATACACTTGGGACTGCCCACTCCTCACCTACCCAAAATGTTTGAGGTATTTGGGAGGCTGAGGCAGGAGGACTCGAGTCCAGTGGTTCAGGGCCAGCCTGTTGTGTCTAATCTTAAACAGGGTTGGGGGTTACAGCACACTGGTAGTTTGTACAGCATGCAAAAGCATTGGGTTCAATCCTGAGCCTCAAAAAACAAAAACAAAAATAATCACTTACTGAAGTCCCCTAGAAGACTGGAAGCAGGTGGTGAGTAGAAAGTGAACAATAGCAACTTGGAGGATGCCTCTTTCACCTAAGCAATAGGCACAGATGACAGCTAAAGGGTGACAGTGAGGACTTGACTGGTGAGGATGCAACAGTTTCCACAGAGGCCAGAGACCTTGCTGTTTTCCAGAGAGCAAATTGAGACCTAACTTTTAAGACCATGTAGAATTCTCAAACTGTTTTTATGGGACAGCTTAACAGATCTCATGTACAACAGGGACAAGAATCGGGTTCTAAAGGCAGACTGCCTCCCCCTACAGTGCCCACCTCCAAATATTTATTTTTTGTCCTTTTGAGATAGGGTCTTGCTACAAAGTTCAGGCTGGCCTTGAACTCACTGTATGACCCAGGCTGGTCTCAAACCCAAAATCTTCCTGCCTCAGCCTCCTGAATGCTAGAATTATAGGTGTGCACCATCAGGCCTGGCTTCCAAATTTCTTTTATGGGACTGGTGAGATAGCTCAGTGGTTTAAAGTACCTGCTTAGGCAAGCTTAGGAGGCACAGGGGCCCGCAGTTTAATCCCCAGCACCACATGCCGCGCCAGCCCTGCCCTCAGGGTGGGCTGAGCTGGCCAAGAAAGGAAAAAATAAAGAAAACTGTCTTTGAAGACAAGGTTTCACTAAGTTGCCCAGGCTATTCTCAAATTTGACATCCTTTTGCCTCAACTTCCAGAGTAGCTATGATTATGTACACCACCACTTACATAGATTGTCTGAATTTTGATAATGCACAAACTACTTAGCCTCTCTGGGTTGTTGCTGAGACAAGGTCTCACTATGTAGTTCAGGCTGGCCTTGAATTTGTGGTGGTTTTCCTGCCTCAGCCTTCTGAGTGTGGGAGTTACAGGCATGTACCAACATGCCTAGTTCTTCTAAATCATTTTTTGAGCTGCATTGACTTACCTGAATGTTAATCTAAGGATTTTTTTTCAGTGCATCATTTTTTTTTTTTAAATAGTAGAGGAAGAACTATACAATACTTAGATGCTTAATTAGGATTATGATCTTTATTAGTCCCAGAACTCTAGTAGACTGAGGCAGGAGGATTACAAATTCAAGTCCAGTCTTCGTAATTTAGCAAAACATTTCCTTAAAAAAGGGCTCATCCTGATGCAGGGACCAGGGCTTGGCCAGCCCCACCCCTGGAGTACATGGAAAGGGCGGACTGGGCATGGTGGCATGTGCCTGTAATCCCTGCGCTTGGGAGGCTGAAAACAGGATCACTACTAGTTCAATCTGTATAGTGAGACCCTGTAGACCTTGTACTAAAAGTGGGGGAGGGGGCGCTCAGGATTTAGATCACTACAATCACCGCAAAAGGTTCTTGGTGTAATTCTCAGCAACTTTCCAACAAAGATCCTGACCAAAAGCAAGGATGGATCACTCAGATGCTTGCTGAGCTGGGTAGCAGTGGTAAGGCCAGTACAAGGGTGGAAAAAAGGGTTTTTAGTGCTGAGGATTAAACCCAAGGGCTCACATATGCTAGGCAAGCACTCTACTATTGAGCCACATGTCCTGTCCCTAGATACTTTAGTACCAACTATGGCTTAACTCTGAGACAAGGAACTACAGATGGATTCAATAACTGTCCATCTAGAGTTCTCTTGGGTGGAAGAATATAAGTGACAGCTGACTCCTGCTACTGGAGATTTTCTTTTAGTGGAGTCACATAGGACATATTATGGACTATGCAACACAGAATCCCTTTTAAACCTCAGCATTTTTTTTTTTTTAATTTTTTTGTGGAACCGGGGATTGAACTCAGGCCCTTGCACTTGCCAAGGAAGCACTTATTCCACTAAGCTATCTCCCTGGCCCTCCTCAGTATCATTTGAATGTCACTTCTTATCTCCGTCTAAGCCAAAACAAACCCACTTTAAAATTTTCCAACTTCAATATACACAATCAGAAAACAGAATATACAAATAAATCACTTCAGTGTTCTGCAAAGGGATTTTCTTCACATCTAGCTTTTAAAAAGTTATAGGCCCAATGAAACAACTCTGATCCTATGAATTCATGCTGACAACCTAAGGCCACTAACATGCAGTCCAAGGAGCTGACTGTGTGGCTTAGAATCCCAAGACATACAAAGTGCCTGGGTTACATTTTCCTCAAAGGCCTGGCTAACTGGAGACCATAAAGCAGCCAAAGTCGCACACATCTTGTCCTTGTTCCTAAATCCACACAAAGGTCTTTCTGGACCTGACACAGGCAGGAATCACTAAAGAGGGAGTCTTCTGAGCACTTGTTAATCCGTTATGATTTATTTGCTGTACAGCAGTAGATCCTCCTCCCCAGCTTTCAACCCCATTACATATTTTATTACAGGTCTCATGTTGGCGTCCTAAAATAATGAAAAATATCACACAGTACAGCTAAATACAAAATGCATCAACCTAGAGTCTGATAGCTAACTGATGGTTCTCTTAAAAGCAATACACAGAAGAAAAGTGTTTGAAATAGTAAGACTGAGGCGCCCTAAACACATTTTAAGCATGTGACAGTTCATGTGCAAGAATCACTTTTTTGTTGTTTTTCTTCACATTATTCTTATTTTTTGAAGATCCAGAGTTTCAATTACTGATCCAGTGAAATTTTCTGGCCCAGCTTGTCAGGGCTGCTCCACTCATAATCATCCTTCTGGCTTTAACAGAAGATTTATAAAAACATTCAGCTACAAACAGAGCAAAGAAAATGTTGATGGGAAATCATAACTGAAAGTTAATTGTACAAGTTTCAAATGCTGGCTCCATGGGCTGGAAATCATGACTTTTCACCTGGGTGTCCATCACCAGTAGGCAGCAGTCCGGGTGCTCTTCTGCTACATGATTGTGATCCAACTCCTTGTCAACATTTACACATCACCAAGTCCATAGTCACTTAATTTGCAAGTAATTAAAATGCTGGGTTTTCTTACACTGCACTTCTTTTCAACCTCTTAATTAATGGAAAAGATTAAAATGTAAAAAAAGTTATTTACAAGCTTGACCATACCAGAAACTTTGCCAAGAAAGAGGCAAAGCTTTCAGGACAGAAACCAATCGTAGCATGCCATACTACTGGTGTGCAGCTGACTCCAAGCAAAGGGAGTCAGGAAAAAGCAAAAGCAAAAAACAGGTTAAAAGTCTTAAGTTCTTCCCAAGTTTGCATTTACAATTAAAAACTCTCTTGGGAAGAAGACTGTAGAACTCTGGGAAACTCGTGGGCATTCTGGAGTGGTTTACTAAATCAAGAGAGGGGGTTCAATGTCTCTGTTTCCATCTAAGAAAACTAGTTAGGCATGAACACTGTCCTCAGCACTTCAAAGTAAACCCTCCGGTACTCAGAACATTCCATGATTTGCTACCATCAAACAGTAAGTTCTAGTTAAATCACATTTTTCTAACATCATTCTGGAAGTTTCCTTTCTCAGCACGTTTGGTAAAATGGTGTAA